AACCAATGGAGTCTCGGTTTAATGGCATTCTTAATAGATGGCAATACCTAGGAAGTGGGGCTAGAAGGGGGGCGTAGGTCATACATCCTCCTGTAGTGACTGGATGGAGGTACTGTAGGGAATGCCTTGTCTCCAGCCCCTCTCTATCTTTCTCCTCTGCTTCCCCATCGCCATGAGAGGAGCAGGATGGAGCATCTGCTCCATCACAGGATTTCAAGCTGATTTTCCCAGATATCCTGTCACAGTGATGAAAACTGACGAACATACTAAGTTCCATGAATGGTCTACCTTAAATGGGTGGACTGTAGGACATGTGGCTTATCTCTGAAGAAAGAAGGCTGCCGGGGAGGTTGCCCCTGTTCATCCTGGGTTTTGCTGTTCATTTTCTAAATGATTACGTATTTATTAAAGTTCCATTTGGCATGAAGATAACTTTTTGTTGGTTTTTTTTTTTTTTTTTTCAGACAGCATCTCCCTGTATCCCCAGGTGGCCTGGAACTGGCTAAATAGACCAAGCTGGCTTTGATTTCACAGAGATCAGCCTGCCTCTGTCTCCTGAGTCCTGGGATTAAAGGTGTGCACCACTACACCCAACATATAACTTTCGTTTAAAAAAATTTTTTTTCCTACTTTCCGGTCTCTTTTCCTATCTCTCTTACCTCCATAAAATGACAAATCAAAGTTTCAAACTTGGCATGACTTCAAATAATGAAAATTAACAGTACCTCTTACTTAGAGGCCCAGAGCACAGCAAAGAATCTTGACAAGAACTAGGCCTAATTAAATCCAGGAAACCTCAGGACAGCAATGAGAAGGCGGCAGTGGAGACTGGAGCGTGTTCCCATAGCTGTGGTGGCTCCTTGGCGAGTACAGAAATGTTTAGAATATGCTCTGCACAGCTGCAAAGTATTAAGAACACTGTAAACACATACAAGGTACGCTTCACCATCTGCACTGTTCACAGATGTTGAGAACCCCATGACCAGGGGATGGCTCTTTCCAGTATTAAGTTGCTGTAATGCTGTCGACCATAAAATGTCACCCTCAAGAATCTGCTAGACGACGCCTGCAAGGTCCATCACCGAGGTCAATCCTCTGCTTCCAAAAGGTTCTAGTTAAGGTGAAAACATGCCTCACAGGAAGACATGGCAAAAGCCTCAAGAAACATCTGTACAGGTCACATGCTCTGTGACGTGATCCTTTAATAGACTCACCTGAGCACTGTACATGCAGGCTCTTAAGAGCCAGCCGTAAGTACCGACAAGTGCCCAGAGCAAATGCTCAAAGCTCTTGGATCCTTTCTTGTAGACGCTGCTTTGCTCCCTGTCTGCTCAGGTGACCATCTCCAGCTCCCCACCACCAATCCTCTCTGCCATTTCTCCACCACTGCTGGTTCTATTCGCTCCTTCAACCTGCCCTTTCCGTTGCTCCTTAGCACAAGTTTAACACACAGGCCACAGGATTCTGCCATATCCATCCAGACCAATACAAAAGTCAGGACCCAAAGGCAGGAATAAAGGATTAAAGGAATAAAGCTGGGGACTTTGGAGACACAAAAAGGAAGAAAAATGCCAGCACACAGGCCACTGACCGGACTGAACCACAGAGACACACGAGGAAGCACCATCCAGGCATGGTAAATCTTGGTCTGGTCCTGCTGAGAGGAACATTTCAGTTTGCCCACTAAACAATGTTCCCTTTTAGGAGAATTTAAGGCTAATACTAAGTAGCTTGGCCTATATCAACTATAAATGTTAATGTTCCAGAAAAATAAATATAGTTACTAATTTAAAAGACTAAAGTATTCCCTCTCCATGATATTTTATGTGTATGTATGTGAAAGTGTGTGTGCATGTTTATGTGTACATGGGTACACATGTGTAGGGGTATACATACAAGTGTGTTCATATGCATGAGGAGCTCAGGTCAACCTTGAGTGCTGTCACTCAGGCATTGGCAATCTTATTTTGAGACAGAGTCTCTCACCAGCCTGGAACTTACCAACTAGTCTAAACCAGCTGGTCAGGGAGCCCCAGGGATCATCCTGCCTCCACCTCCCCAGTGCTAGGATTACCAGGCCAAGCCACCATGCCTGACTTTTTTACAAGGCTCTGGACACTGAACTCAGGTCCTCAAGCTTTACTGACTGAATTACCAATCCTAGTTCTGCATGATATTTATCTGTATCCTCCATTTATAAAAAACCTTGACTATCTATTTATAAAACAGATAAATTAACGGCTGGAGAGATGGCTCAGCAATTTAAGAGCACTTGCTGCTCTTCCAGAGGACTCAGGTTCAGTTCCTAGGACCCACATGGTGACTCACAGTCACCGGCATGTATGAGCTGCATATATACACTGAGGTATACAAATACACATAAAATAAATAAGGATTTTTTTTAAAGGATTAAATTAATAAATTCCCCTTTTCACCTTTATAGACATCTTCCCAATTAGCCAAATTTACTAAGCAAGTTTCTACTTAGTGACAAGGTCAGAGGATAGGGTAGGGAAAGGCCATGTGGTCTTCTGAGAACGCCCAGTGTTTTCTGTCTGCAGTCATGTCTATGTGCAAAGGAGTTCACTTTTGAAGGGAAGGCTGGAAAATTCTGAAACTTAGGGCTCTTTATGCTGGCTAATAACCTACAAGGCGGTTCTGGGCAAACTGAGTCATAGAAAGGGGAGAGATATCACCAAAACACAAAAGTGGGCACAGTGGCAGGGAAGGGAGGACCCGGGAAGCCTGACTACACAGGCTGGAGTCCTGGGTGGCTCTCCAAGCCAATCACATTTGAATCCCTTGGGTTTTTACATTCTTTTAATTGGTAAAATTAAGGGAGACAGAGCCCTGCACTCACAGCATTTCCAGACCTTTCCATTAACAGCTGAGCACCAAAGGCAAGAAGCGGGTGGTCAGAGATGGAGAAAAAGGCCAGGGCTGGCCAGCAAGGCTGACAGGGCACAGGAGGGTAACAGGATGGCTTGAAGTAAGGCACTGACTCCACACACTTCCTATTTTGGGAAGATGGCTCTGGCTCCAGAATGAGACTATCAAGCAAAACAGTAGTGAGAACAACCACCCTACCCTCTAGGATGGTGGTGCAGGGGCCTGAGGCAGTCACAGTAAAGAGGGGGGCATGGCAGGCTGTGGACTCAGCAGGTATTGCCAACAGAAAGCTGGCAGAGTGGAAAGAAGGACCAGAAGAGAAAGGGGAGAAGGCACAGTGGACACTGGGGAGCTGACGAGGAAGGAGAGAGGATGGAGGGAGGGGGGAGGGAGGAAAGAGGGAGGAGGGAGAGAGGAGGGAGAGGCAGCGGGTGCAGACACCCCTGTCAGAAGTCAGCTACAGAGGGGGGCAGAGATGGTGTGTGGAAAACAGTGCAACAAGTGGGGGGGGGTTGCTCAGTGGGTGGAGTGTGGTTGAAATAGAAGGCACCACACAGCATAGTGGAGGGGGTGGGTACAGGAACCAGGAAGATACATGACCTGCATCAGAGGTGAGAAGAACGAAACTCAAGGCACTTGCTAGATGTATTTTGAGTTTGTTTCTTCAAGGATTGATTTTATCTTGATTTATATGGATGTGTATATATGCCTTGTGTGTAGATGCCCACAGAGGCCAGAAGAGGGCATCCGATCCCCTGGAGCCAGAGTTATAGGTAGTTATAAACTGCCCAACATGGGTCCTGGGAACTGAACTCAGATCCTCTGAAGAGCAACGAACACGCTTAACTACTGAGCCACATCTCCAGCCCCTGGTAGATGTAATTTGTTCTTAAGAGAGTTACAGTCCAATGCAGGAGAATGCAATGTAAATATTTAAGCAGCAAGGTCAGAACCATCAGAGCCATCAACGCACCTGTCAGATCATCACTGCAGCATGACAGAGCATGTGAATGGCAAGGACCTCACAGAAGTAAATGACTGTGCCACATACCTAAATTATTAATATATTCTGAGCAAATGTTTTTCAAATAATTATTCCCAATTCTATAGAGAACACAAATATTTTTATGCTTCTAAAAAATTACTTGTGAGCCGGGCGTGGTGGTGCACGCCTGTAGTCCCAGCACTTGGGAGGCAGAGGCAGGCAGATCTCTGTGAGTTCAAGGCCAGCCTGGTCTACATAGTGAGTTCCAGGACAGCTGGGGCTACAGGGAGACCCTGCTTCAAAAAGACAAAAAAAAAACAAACTTGTAACTCTGTAAAGATATTTACAGAGTTACAAGACAGACCAAACAGTCATTTGCTGTCAATTTTTAAAGCATGTCATGTTATCAGGGTCAATTCAGCTCCAAACGATAAAAATCAAAGTTTTACTTGCAGTTTAGATTGTTCCCTAAGTGCTAATGGCTGACTTTCTAAACAGCTGTTCTGATCCACAGTGTTTAGTAGTGAATGGCTCATGACTTGTGCACCCCATAAATGTCCTCATTTTATGAGCTCCATGCTAGAAAGGTCACTCCAGGAGCCAGGACAGGTTCACATTGACTTGTACATCCTATCAAGGTCAGTCACACAGGACCTCAAAACCTGACTCTGAGCATTCTGTTCAGGCTAATCTGGCAAACCAATCAAGCACAAAAGGTAAATGAATAAACAGCACCCAAATGAGTCATTAAAAACAACAACAACCTATTTTCTGATTCTTTAAGACTACTAAATGAGGTAAGAGTTGCTGTTCTCAAAAAAAGGAAAAAAAACATTTTGGATATTTTTAGGACAATATAATTATATAACAACAACATTTCTAGAATCACTAAGGTTTAAAAAAAACAAATTACTAGCTGGACATGATGACACATGTCTGTAATTCCAGCACTCGGGAGGCAGAGGCTGGCAGATCTCTGAGATTACAAAGCAAATTATAGACCAGCTGTGGCTACATAGTGCGTCCTAGTCTCAAAAACAAGCAAGCAAGAAAACAAAATCAAACACCTTTGAATCTCAAACTAAATTAAATATTACATTGTTTCTGACTTGGACATTTTACCCACCTGCTGAGCTGCTTCTCCATTCACCAAGTGGGGCATCATGGCCACCTCCCCGTTGAGCAAGGGTGGCAGTTCCAGGGGGATCTGGTCCGTCATCATCATGGTGACATACATTCATGGAGAATTGCCCCCAGTCAGCTTCCTGCAAAGGAAACACCATGTTTAAATGAAAACAAAACAAAACTCAAGACCACGAAAATCACCTGCAGCCTAAATTACCTACCCCAGAGATCTTTCTGAGGATAAAATGATATCACATTTTCAAAGATTTTTTAAAATTGCGTGGTGGTGCACGCCTTTAATCCTAGCACTCAGGAGGCAGAGGCAAGCGAATCTCTGGGAGTTCAAGGCCAGTCTGGTCCACATAGCAAGTTCAGGTCAGCTAGAGCTACAGGAAGACCCTGTCTCAAAAAGACAAAAAAATAAAAAATAAAACTTCTTATTTATATGAATGTATACGTATATGCCACATGTGTGCACGGAGGTCAGAAGAGACTGTTAGATCCCCTGAGGCCGAAGTTACAGGCAGTTTTAAGCTGCCCAATGTGTTCAGCAGTTCTAGGAACTGAACTCAGGTCCTCTGCAGGAGCACCAAGCACTCTTAACTGCTGAGCCATCTCCCAAGCACCCCTGAGATCACATTTTGACATAGTAAGAACAACAGAAACTAGTGGGATCATCATGTGTAAGCCCATGTTGAAGACAGCAGATCAGCCAAAGAGGATGGCCAGTACTTGTTCATCATGAAAAGCCCCATTGTGTTAGCGTCAAAAACTCAGAGCATTTAATCCAAACAAGCAAGCCACAGCTAACACATACACTGCAATCACTGCACTTTCTGACAGCCATTAATTTGAGAATTACCCATGGTCTAATTACTTCTCCCATCATTTCTTCGACTTGATCTGTTGCATCTTACGATACCATCTTTCTCACTCAGATACCCTTCGGCTCTCTGGGATCTCACAAATACCCATGCAGTTGGGCTCAAAGGCAGATTCCATTGTTTCCAAGAAATAAATGAAATTCACATGCATTTTCAAAATAACATAAAACCTATTTTCCTCCCACAATTGTACTGTCCTCAAGTAGCAACAACTACAGTATAACAGAGGGAAAAGAAACACAAATTGCTAGAGAACTAGAACTTCTACAACAATTATTTATGTGGTTTTTTTTTCATTATGCCTCAAAACTGTGGCATAAAGTCCAGCAGCATGGAGAAAGTATAAAGACACATACATGCACAACCCAAGAGTGTTTCAGAAATAAATCACCATATACTTCATGGAAGAATTTTTATCATAAAAAGTCCCTCAAGTTTTCAAATTCAAAACTATCCAACCAAAGAATATTTTACTGCTAACTGTCCCAGTTGTTCCAAATGCTGCAAAAATTCTTTGGTGACTGTCTCTGACTTGTCTCAGATAAGTATGACAGAAAGAAAATATTTCTTTTCATCCCTGAACACCTCCATCCAAGTATTACATACACCTCCTCCCTTCATCCCATCCAGGAGCAACCCCTTCCCTTAAGTATCAAATGATGCACAAAGGCCCAAGAGATTAGAATTCTTTGTAAAAAACAGGTAAAATTTTACACTATCCATTAGAACTCTATTTGGAGAAACATTATTTAAGAACCAAACGAGGCGCAGCCCCATAGTAGCAACTCTCATCCATGTTGATGCTGTAATCCCGCTGCTTTGTGAGGCTGCTTCTCACTTCCCAAAAAGCAAGTCCAAGGACCAAGGGTCTATCCTGATGAAGGAAAGTTTCTTCCACATTAAAACCAAGATAGCCCTACACACACAATCAAGACTTAATTGTTTGATTCTGACTCAAGTCAGCCAGTGAGGAAGGAGCACTCGTGTTCATCTCTGCTTTATTTCTAATGCACTAAATTCTTCTAGTACAAAAGGGATGGATGGCTACTTTTTCTCAAACAGATGATATCAAACAGACCTATTTCTTATGTGAATTTTTTTAAGAAGTACAGGGTAGGGTCTGAGGAGACAGTTCGGTCATTCAAGTGCTTGCTGCACAAGCATCAGAACCTGAGTTCAAGCCCCAGAACTCTCGTTCTAAAAGCTGGGCACAGTGGCATGCACTTGTAATCTCCAAACTGGGGAGCTGGAGTCAGGAGGAGTCCTGGGGCTCACCAGTGAGCCAGCTAGCCTAGTCACTGAGCTCCATCCAGGCCGTTGAGAAACCCTGTTCCCCAAACCAAATTACACAGCATCTGAGGACCAAACCCTCAGTTGACCTCTGGGCCTTACATGCATACACTAATGCACACGCACACACACACAATTAAAATAAGAAGTGAAGAAAGACAACTACATGTCCAATCACACTTAAAAACACCACACTCCCAACACTGCACCTCAAGTACCCAATGGTCAAACTATCAATTATTGAGTAAACGAATGAATTAAGAAAGTAAGACCACTGAGAACCTACCAGAGTCGCATACAGCTGTAACCATGGTTGTTGACTCTCTTTTTCCCTAGGCTACCTACCAGCTGGCTAAAGTTCAAGGTCTGTTTTGCTGTAGAACCTAACAATTCCTTTAGAGGGAATTCAGACTTTGTTCCCAGGCTAGTGAGACAACTCAGTGGGTAAAAGTGTTTGCTGTGCAAGCCTGGCGAGTCAAGTTCAATCCCCTATGGTAGAAGGAAAGAATGGACTCCTTAAAGTTGTCCTCCAACTTAGATACACCACACACGTGTGTGCATGCATGCACACATTATATATAATAAAAAATATATTAAAAAAATCAGACTTTATCCTCAACAGAGTACGAGGTAGCAGACTCAAGTAGATGGAGCATCCACGCAGTCAAAAACATTTAAATTGTCATTTCTGTGCGCCATGAACACACAGGATAGTTATCATCTGACAAGAATGTAAGGGGCACACAGAAAAGGCAATCGTCTCCAAGCACAGAATGCCCAGTTACTTAACAAGGCAACTGCCTGTCAAGCTGTCCCCTAAAACTACCCTGGAACAGAAACAACCTAGCTCCACAGTGTGGAAAGAGCAAGAGAAATGGGAGGAGGAGGAGGAAGGTTGTCACAGAAAGAGAAATACACCACAAAATTCAGAATACACAGCTATATCTTTTTGATGAAAGGCGTACCACTATCAAGTTGGATTCATTTGTTATGATTCTAGAGAGAAATTAACAGATTTTCAGCCAGTAGACCATATATTTTTATAAAAATGGATTGGGAGTCATTGTTTACAACAAAAGTTCCATCTCATTCGGTGATGTACCCGGGAGTTTCTATAGTACTTTAGCCTTTCGTGTCTATAAAGAAATTCGCCTTTGCTTTGAGGCGTTTCTTGGTTTTGTTTGTTTGTTGAGACGGGTTCTGGCTATGCAGCCTAGGCTGGCCTCAAACCTGTGATCCTCCTGCCTCAGACTCCTAAGTGCTGTGATTACAAATATGCCACAAACACACCTAGCCCCATTGCATTTTCTGTCTCCCTCACCCCCTCTCTCTTACACACACACACACACACACACACACACACACACACACAGTACCACCAAACCACTTTCTCTCCGATTTGAGGGCTCTATTGTAATTTGGGTATCAAGTGTAAGGCGGAGGAAAGGTCTCTGGGTGGAACTTCAGAAGCTCCCCCATGCCTGCTGGTACTCGATCTTCCTGGACCACCTGCTTCCTCATCAGCATCTGGGGCCTCTAAGGGGCCCAACGTGAGCTCTCTGGATATGGAAGCTGCAACCGACGTGCACGCAGTGGGAGTCTCCAGGGCAGCCACACCAAGAAAACATCCACTTTGTTGGCTTGAGTTCCATCTAGCCTCAAGAGACATACGAGGCAGCCAAATCTACCTCAGAAGTCATGCATTATAGTCAAGGATGCATCACATCTGCACGATCTGCCAATAATACAGGAATCTCACAGTGACTCTATTCTTGGGACCATTAACCTTTACATGCTACAAAACTAATCAGAGAAAAAAGAAAATAGCTTGTTTGTACAGTGTGTTCTCCTCTGAACCTCACCCTTCAAGCACACATAGCTCCTCAGGTCTCTCCCCACTCTGTTTTGCTCTTACCTAAACTTCTAGTTCAAAGAACTTGGTGACAACCACAGGCCTTCAAAGCCTCCCCCCTCAACCGCATATGTGAACACTAAAACCACAAGTACTTTGTACCCATTCAGAAGAGTCTGTTCTGAATGAAAGCGGTAGATGCCACGTGAGCCCTTATGGTTCACAACCCTTTCTCCTAGGACAGCAAGTCCTGGGTTTGCTGCTAGCCAGGCTCCACCCCACCATCAACTCCTGAGCTACAAGACAGAGGTGGGTAAGGCACTCTAGGAAGGAAATGAACAGTTCTTCACTATGAACAAGATACTTACTTCCTTACAAATACATCCCCAACACCTTTAAAGAAAACTTGATTTTAAAATAATATCACAATGGGGGCTTCACTTTTTACATTTCTGTAGGCAACTGGTTTATTATTTTTTTCCCTCTTTCTTTGCCTTACTCCAAGTCTTTTAAAAGGTATTTTGGCCCCCGCCTATACTACGAAACATACAGGCCAAATTCACGAAAAACCTGATTTGCAGGAGGAAACTGCTGATCTAACTCCAAAGGCCAGAAGGGCAATTATATGCTAAGAAAAATGTCATTTTGAAAAGCCAAAGCCCTAATCACTGCTGGGAGTTCTTAAATCTGTGAACCTGGCATTCAAATTAGTAACAAAATGTCCTGGTCCTCACTCAGCGGGCCAATGACCCAAATTTCCTTACATTAATTCAAGATGTGAGTTAGCAGTACAGTACACAAATTAGTTTCAGATGACAAGAGAAAGAACAACAGAATAGCAGCAAAAGGAACAGAGTCAGCCCATCAGAACTCCCGGAGCCGGCCAGGCCATGAAGAGAGATGAGGCTCTGCAGCAATCGAAGCCAGGCGGAGGATGGAGCTCCCATACCACCCGGATGCTGTCTGACTTCTACATGCGGCAAAGTAGGGGACAAATAAGAGAATCCACACAGTTTTAACTTGTTGCTTCCATGGCCTAATTCCAAATGCATTCTTTTTTTAGCCTGTGTGTATGTACCTAAGTGTATTTGTGTATGCATGTTCGCATGTGTGT